GGCTTGTTGAATTTCAGAGCCCATTCTCTCCATAGAAAGTGTTCGTGTATTTCACGTACTTTGGGGGACGATATGTTGGCCGCTAGATGTCTGTCTCATGCTAAATTCTTATCTGATAGATAGATATTTCTCCGTACATTTCACGACCCAAATAGGAGACGTCAAGTTGTCGACCAATGTAGTTTATGGAAGGAATGGCCTCAGCCCTGTACATGAAATGAACACTAGTGTACAGTACTGCACAGTGCTGAAGTACTGTACTCGGAAATACTTCATCTGTTCAAGAAAAATGAAATAGCTTTGATGTCCTATAAAAAATGCTTATTTTTTATTTTAGTTTCTCTGTAAAAGTATCTAACCGGCGGGTAACAGTCATAGATAAAGATAGATTGCGCATAAGACGACATTTTTCATCTTGAAAGATATAAATGTACCGAACCGAGATGTTTTAAAGATATTCCTATTATATAGATTAACTAGGTCCGTTGTGAACATTGACTGTTCTTATGTCATTGAGTACTTGTGGTGTACATGAGTTCTGTAGAGAGAAATTCAAGTTAGTTTAGTCCTTCTCATGTCCTTCTTCAGTTCTCGTCAATATGATATATTGCTCAGTGAAATATTGTTGTTCAAATAGTTCCATTCCCGGAGTTATTTTACACTCTATTATGAAATCCATTAAAATACCAAACCACCCCGCTTATCATTGAATTACACTTTGACCCCAAGAAGTATGAGTTCGCGGACTGTACAATTCTTGGTGATTTTGAGTACATAAGCTATCTAATATCTATGTTTATTTATTTATCTATGGTTACAGTGGACAACAATTGTTGGAATTAACACTTCTATATAAAGCTCGAAATTAGAATAATGGTACCATTGTAAATCTGGTATTCCCCTCTTTAAATGGAGGGTTAATTAAAATTTCAAGATTATGTACCTAGGAGGATGCACTAAAAGTGTGTCATAAAGACAATCAGCCCAATAAACCAAGATTTGAGAGTAGTGAAAAAAAGAATATTGTTTACAACGGTATCCTTGAACCTATATTCTAATAAAAAAAATTTGACTCGAAAAATGGTTATTTCTGTGAATTTCTCCATTGCTTTTCATAAGCAAGGAATGCGCAATTTTCTTTCGCGGAGAAAACGCAAATGTAAATAAAACGTTTAAAGATACAAAACATTGATATCTAATTCATACTTGATCTTTGCTTGCAGGGTCACAATTGAAATTACGCTTACAGTCCCCTTAATTCTGCAGCATGATATACAGGGAATAAGAATAAAGGGAAAGGAAATGGCGCTGGTCTGGCATAAGAAAGCCAGTCGCACTGCTTTGCAGACGAGTTCGTTACCACACACACACACACTCCATTGTTACAGAAACAACATGACTACAGTCAAGGAAATTGCAGAACAATGTCCTTAATTATTATTAAGCTTGAATAACGAGAAGTTTATTGTAAACTTTAATCAAATTATATTCTTTAAATGAAAAATTCGGCTTATAGTGTTGATGATATTGTTCTGTTGCTGTTCACTTTACTGATTGAATAAGAAGTGTTCTAATAAAGAATATAGCAAGATACCAGATGTATGGGGCTAGGGTCGGGGGGAGTTTTACTGTTCCTAGTTTTGTAAGAAAAATTTGGGGGTTTAAAAGAAATCCCACTGAGAATGTTTAAAGTTGTAGATTTACAATATTGAGTAATCCTATTACTACCTTTATACTCACTTGTAGGGCGTTACAAGTCCTGTGAGCTTGCATTTTTAACGCTCTTTCTTTCAGTATATCTTTGAAAATATTTTTTTAAAAAGCTGGTTCCTGTTTTTAAGGGGGGGGGGGCAAAAAAATTTGTTAGGTCGATTTGTATTTTTCCAAGGTTGGTTATCTTATCTCCAAGGAAAAACTTTTTTTCGTTTCATGTATACATGCAAAGGTAAAATTTAACCTAACATAACCAGTATGAGCTCAATAGCTCAGGATAAGGATAGGTCCATGATGTAACCCCTTCAGTCATAATACTGACCCGGAGCTAAGCTCAGATTGGATAGTTTTATTGATGTAACCCCTTCAGTCCTCATAAGGACCCGGAGCAAAGCTCAGATTGTATATAGCCATAGATCAGACAGAAAGTAGTGCGGATGATAAGTCACCTCATGTAAAATGTGTTGAGAGATGTGTCCGTTAAAAGTGCCATCCTAGAGAACATACTTTTAACGCATGTTTCAATGCGTGGAAAACCAAGCTATTATTGACCCCGGAGTTCTATTTGAATTCAAGCCAATAGGCTTGAGCCACGAAGGAGCAGAAAATAGGATTTCCCCAGACTAAGGCGAAAATAGAGTTAGTTGTCATGAAGGATTGGAAGAATAACCCGTTATTGGAGGCGGAAGAAAGGCGGAGAGTCTGCAGGAGGGCTTTATTCGAACCATTTGTATCAAACTTTATTTATTCTTTTTCATGATGTAAATACATTTTTCTATATTTTTGGTATACGCTTTATGTTTCTATTATTTAAAGGGACTGTAACTGACCCTTTGCAAATATGACAATGCTTGATTTACAACCAAACCATTGAATGTTTTGTCTGATCATGAAAAACATATTTATATGTTTTTTTGTTGTTTTTAACTATTTATTTTCTATTGGAGTTTCCCTTCAAAAGTGACTTGCGCATTTCTTGCTTATACGAACAAAATGCAAAAATTCACAGAAATAAATACTTTTCAAGACGTTATCAGATTAAGATTTTAAGGGTACCGTTGTAAATTGGCATTAATATCTTTGCATTAAGGGTCACTTAAAAGTATGCTTACAATCCCTTTAAGTTTCTAGCAATCATATCTGCAGCTGTTTGAATGACTAGATAATGTGTATGTAGCAAATATTGCGTAAACATGATATTATGTAAATCTGCATTACATTGCACATTAATTATTAACAATTTACGTTGTAGAGTAATCCTGAAATCCTGTTTTGATAAAACAGGTCGGATCGTCCCCATCATTTGAGATCGATATATAGCTTGTTTGATAGCTACCTAAAATCCTGTTTTGATAAAACAGGTTGGATCGTCCCCATCATTTGGGATCGATACATAGCTTGTTTGATAGCTACCTAAAATCCTGTTTTGATAAAACAGGTCGGATCGTCCCCATCATTTGGGATCGATACATAGCTTGTTTGATAGCTACCTAAAATCCTGTTTTGATAAAACAGGTTGGATCGTCCCCATTATTTGGGATTGATATATAGCTTGTTTGATAGCTAGACGACTGTGTCTCTGTGTGGCATTTAGAGCGGATCGTCCCCATCATTTGGGATTAATATATAGCTTATTTGATAGCTAGGCTTGTGTCCCTGTGTGGCATTTAGAGCGGATCGTCCCCATCATTTGGAATTAATATATAGCTTATTTGATAGCTAGGCTTGTGTCCCTGTGTGGTATTTAGAGCGTTGGATTGTCTCCATCATTTGGGATCGATATATAGCATGTTGGATAGCTAGGCTTGTGTCCTTTTGTGGCATTTAGAGCACTAAATTAATAGCTTGTTGGATAGCTACGCTTGTGTACCTGTGTGGCATTTAGAGCCTGGATTAATAGCTTGGTTTGATAGCTATAGAGATCGAGCCCACAGATAGTGGCTTTGATAGTTAGAGGGATTGTAACCGTGTGAATCGTGTCCTGGTAAACTTTGACGGGTTGGACCTGGAAAGATACATTTCGAGAACTTGTTATGGAGTAGGTGTTTACCACATGTAAACCCCTGGAATGATGAATTATACAAATCCACCTTAAAGGGTTCATCGGTCATTATACTATTTTCATTATTCATAATCAGACCATATCTATCTATCTAGCTAGCTAGATAGATATATATATATATAGATAGATAGATAGATAGATAGATAGATAGATAGATAGATAGATAGATAGATAGATAGATAGATAGATAGATAGATAGATAGATAGATAGATAGATAGATAGATAGATAGATAGATAGATATTATGAACGGATAAAAATTGACAATCATAGCTAACGGATCGTTTGAGAAGTAATAAATGATTCAAATCTTCCCAAAAAAGTTTGTAAAAAGATGAACTATACTTGATGTTTGAATTCATTAGAGATCTATGTAGATCTAAACATGAGTTCTTACCACGGTGAACTAGCATTTTTTTACGCGGCACAAATAAAACATATCAATCGATTTAAAAACAATCATTTCTCATTCATCATTTTTAAAATGCGAACTTTTACTTTCCAATTTTCTCATTTAAAATTCAACTGATGCTATAATCTTTTATTATGGACTCGAAACTAAGCTTTGAAATGGAAAAGACTTTGAATCTGAGATTTTCTTTTTTGATTACAAAAAAAAAAAGCTTTTTTTTCTGCCAATTTTTATCAATTTATTAATTCAATGCTGCAAGCACGCAATAACAATTTTTCCATAACTATTCATATTTTATTTACTTTTTTAAAAAGTTTTCTATTTTTAAGAAATTCTTTGTAAACATCTGTATAGAATTTATTAGAGTTTGCTGAAGTTGGTAATGGGACACATAATGCTGTATATGTTTAAAATAAATGTGAAAAGTTACAGAAGTTTTAGGACGCTTTGATTTATATATTAGACATTAGAATTCAGGTCAAACCTGATTAGTTATCTAAACATAAAAGCTACTATATTGCTATGACTGAAAATGCCTTATGTTGCTACTTCAATATATTTAGCTACAAAAAACGTTGTATGTTTCTCAGAAAACATGTTTTATTTCTAATTGCTTGCTTCATTTCTAATACTATAAACCAACACAAAGACAATTTCTAATAAAAAATATTGTATAATATCTGAAAAAATATTGATTTGTAAAAATTACTAATTTGGATCGATTATTCAACTAAAGAAAGCTTACATAATGTAAAACCTTTAGGAGAAAAGTTATGTTTGATTGGATATAAGAAATCGCTGAGTGAATTCTTGAAAATCCGCAAAATAATTATTCATACAGCGTACATTGGATAAACACTACTAAAATTAATATGACGGGCTTGAAGAAAATGATGTTGGTCTTTCCTGTTCTATCCTTTCTGCTCTTTCTTTATGCTTGTTACATTTTACAATGGGAAACTGTAGAAGTTATCTTCTGTTCTATAACTGCAAATGGACGTAAGTTTATCTTAATAATCATTATTGGAAAGAAAAAAAATATGGGTAGTGGTTCCCCTTAGTTCTTTGTTTACATTGGTATGATATGGATCATATTGTTGAAACGACATGAAGACTTAATTCAAAGAGTCTGGATCTATTCAATACGGCAGCACTTATACATTTATCTAAGTGACGATGCCGAAATGTATATGTCTAGGACTACAAAGAAGTATAAGTAAGTTGGTGAAGCAAAACCAAAGACTAAGGCGTTACGACACTTTAAGATCGAGGTTGTCTACAAATTTGAAAACTTACTTTTAAAGCTATCTATGTGTATATCTTAGGGTTTCTCACGGTGCAGTGCTTTAACGAATGTATCATTGAAATATTATTTAGTAAATGTGGCATTTTCCTTCTACACAACCTTGATGCTATTCGTTCCAACCACATTCCATTGGAATTCCCCAAGACTGGCGTACATGCACATCATGTACTTTACTCTTCAAACTATCCTTTCTCTCATCAATACATGTGTAACCGACAATGTGGAGTTGATGTTTATAAGCCTATGCCTCTTCTGTTCTGGCTGTTTTCAGGTAGGAATGATCGTTTTCATTTATCTGAAAATTGAATTGATCGTATACCGAAGTAAAAAAGGAAACGATCGTTGCAAAAAAATAATCGTCTTTTTTATCCAAAAACGAAGTATTAGTTTTTATTTTTTATTCGTCGTTTAGTTTCGTTATCGAAGGTTGAACGTTTTCGGTTTTGGACGGTCCTAAATGATCGTCAACAACCATACTTTCGTTAACAAACGTCAACGTTCTGCAATTTTTAAAATGCCAAAAGGGGAAAAAATTGTTTTTAAAAATTTCCATTAATTAACGGTCACAAACGTTACTACCAAATGTAAGATGACTTCATGAACTTCTCTTTCCGCAGTATCTTATCAAATTCAAATTTACTTAAGCAAACATTTACAAAAACAATTGTTTTATTCAATATCTTCGTTTCTAAAATTTCGTTAGCTTTATACCTTTGTTTTTTTTCTAAAAACAAGAGTTAGTTGGTTTTAAAAAATCATAAACGAAATGAAAGCGATTGTTTTTCTTTTGTTTTTAAAATCGATAACAACCCTACTTTCAGGTGGTTTTAGTCTCCTTTCTTTTACCCCTGCACCTAGGACAGGAGGAGGTAGGGATTAATGGAGATAAACCTGACGCAGGAGGTGACAGGGTTCGGATACTTATACTGGAACCACATGATGAGCTTCATTGAAGGGGTTCCAGCAATTTCACGAAGAATCATGTTTTATATTTGTAATATTTACGAGTTGAATTGTTTTCAGTGTCAAGCAAAAGAGTTAAGCTATATAACATAGCGAAAGTTAAACCGGAAAAAACTGGAACGATCAAAAACCCTTTAGTTCTTATTTTTTTTCTAAAACATCAAAATATGTTAATGATAACTTCTTGTATTTAGCACTTTTAAGATTTATGATATGAAAATAATGTAAATAGTTAACCTTTAAAACCTTTCTATTCTTATAGTTTAGCTTTTAACCAGTGCCCATGCTTAAACGTCATTTACATTTGCACACCAGCAGGTTGCAAAGATATAGGGTTTAGAAAATTTGAGTTCTATGCGAGTAGTCAGTTCTTTTACAAAAAGTGAAAAGTAATCAAAGCAAGGTTGATTAATAAGGATGGTTACTCTCGATGCGCTCCAATGTACGGAAAATCTCGTCTCCTAAGATAGATAGATAAAAACATATGACGTCACTCTCCCTTCTAAAATCAGTGATGTCATATGAGGTTTTTCTTGTACCTGGATAATATCCCAGCATGTAGGGGGATATTGGCAATAAGTTAGAAAGATGGTGTAGGATAGGGGAAGGAGAGAGGCAAATCAGGAGATGGGGGGGGTATAAAAGGATGTTATTAACACAGCTTACACCCTCTAAGCGCCTACGAAGGAGTAGGAAGTGAGGGGGGTGTATCCTTACCTTAACCAGAGAATAGAACTAAAAATAGAATATTATTTAGATCATGTTAGTTCAAACAAATTCTTTAACAAGCGTAACAGATCTCCGACTACACAGAATTTTATATTATTACGTAGCATTTGATTAGCATATGTACAATTCTTTCGATGTTTTTTTTCTTCTGTAAATCTGACCATTTATCCGACAGTCTATCTGTCTGTCAGTCTATTCTTTAAAGTTTATTATATGTTTATCTATTTATAATGCAATGTTGTCTTTCAGTGTTTCTAGTATTTCTATTTCTCTGTTTTACTGTCTGTATACCAATCCTTTATTTAGATTATGACTTCAATAAAACTATTGTATTAGGGTTGATAAAGTTCTTTACTTTACTACGAGTTTCCTTCCACATGTTCCTGCTTAAAACTAAACTTAGGTTGCAACTTTGTAAATTTTAGCATAAACTACAATGCCTGAGCTCGATATCCACTGAGGAAACTCTTGAGTTATAAGTTATAGCTATTAACTACAGACTGTAGACTGTAGACTGTAGACTGTATACTGTAGACTGTAGACTGTAGGCTGTAGACTGTAGACTGTAGACTGTAGACTGTAGACTGTAGACTGTAGANGACAGAATTGTCCAAGGGGAGGGGAGAGGGATTGAAGGAGAAGGGGGGGGGGGAAGTTTACTAATGAGTATTCAAGTGATAAGAGAGAGAATTTTCGGAGTCATTTAAACTTGTTAAATTACTAGAACATGCTTTCTCCGACTTCGAAACTGGAATATAAAGTGTAGAACAGGAAATCTAGTTGTTGTATTTTTTTTTATGTTCTTACTTTTTTGTCTTATGGTATTTCTTATTATATTTTATTTTAATCGTTTTTTTATATCTAACATTGCTATTTGTTACAGAAACCAAAATTTTGCAACGAAAAAATTTACAATTTTTTTTGTGGATTTTCAAAATTTTACGAAAATCAAAAGTTCTGATTATCCATAAACCTTGAGGTCAGTATTTTAGTACTTTATGCCCTAACGTGGCCAGATAAAAAAAATAATCTTCAAGGATTAGAGCCTTGAAAACATGACAATGGAAAGACAAGGATTTTCAGATGTCTCGGACGAGAAAATGAGAAGAATGTTGCTAGGAAGAGAAATATTGTTGTGCAGTTGCTGGCGAGGGGTCGCTAGTAAAGTGAAGTCTTTTAAATATAAAATTCGAAATGAAAAGCTTCTAGAAATTGTATTTTCATGTATTAATTTAAGATGTATTCTAGAAAGAAATGTACTTGTTGTAACGAAATTTTCTCATTTCTTATTCACCGAAAATTTCCCATTTTTTCGCGAAACAGATTGAAGCGAAATTTCGCGAAAAATTTCGCATTTTTCTCGAGCGAACGAAATGCGAAAAAATGAGAAATTTTCACAAAACGATTTTTCCTTTTCGTTGCAAATCCTAACGTGTATTGTATTTACCATCATACTATTAGTAATATCAAGGATTGTTTCTCAAATACCAAAATATATTATTTCCATGGTTGGATTTTGCAGGCAAATAATAACTATGCAAAACTGCAGCTGTTATCATGGTTCAACGCTTTCACCCCACTTTGCGTGCTTGTTTTCACAAGCAGGTATTTATCCAGATAAATCCATGCAGAAACAGGCAGGCATTCACACAAATTAATGCAAGCATAAAACAAGTAGGAATTCAAGCAGATTAATGCATGCAGATCGAAACAGGCAGGAATTAAAGCAGATTAAGGCATGTATAAAACAGGAAAGAAGTTAGGCAGGTTTGCAAATTATATTTATTTTCAAACATGCAAAAATGTAGCATTTCGCATTTGAAAAGAAATCAAAGGTTATGCATGATAATAAGTTCTGTAATTGTTAAAACGTCAAATAAACAAATTAAAGCTTCAAAATAATTGTGGGTTTTTTTCAGTTTTTGAATCACTGTGCGTTAAAGGTTGAAAGCTCTGTAGCAAAAATCGATGAGAATTTTACCGATTACTTCTTTAAAACCAAAGATTACAAGTGCTATAATGTACATGTAAAGGGCTACAGAAAAGCATAAGTGAGTTAGAGCGGTAAAATAAAAGCCCAAGGCGTTGCAACACTTCAAAGTCGACCCTGTCTTAAAAATGTATGAGACTTTTTATATAAACAGGCTGATTCTATGTGGAATGTTTCGTAAATCCGCGAAATATTTAGAAATAATGCCGCGTGTTTGTTGTTTTCTCCGGAACTAATTTTCATTTAACCGGAAGTGTGGATGATAACCAACATGAGTAATAAAGGTAGGAAAGCATGACCACTGTTTTATTGTTGTTTAAATTGAACCCAATCTAATCTTACTTCTATGTTTGTAATATAATCTAATCTGTGACCAGCACCCTCCTTCCATAATATATTCAACAAAATATATACCCATTCGTTATGTATATTTTGCTTGTTTGTTTGTTTGTCTGTCTATCTGTCTAAATCCAATAAACGTCAAAATTGCTGAACCGATCGAGCTTCTGATTGGTCGAAGTAGAAAATTTGAAAAAAATGACGAAATTTATTACGTTTTGAAAATTCACTAATTAAAGCAGAAAAATCCGCAAAATTGTTTTTTATTACCATGTCCAGATTTTATTTATTGACTTTCATTAATGAAAAATTAAGAATCGGTGCTGTTTTGAACTCCTGGTATTAAATAAGGATTGGTAGAATTCGTTAAGACGCCATTTGAGTAAATTTCTCACAGTAACACCGTATAGATATAAAAGTGATAGCGCTGTATAGAAATTTTATTCTGATGTATAATAAATACATTCTTTAGTTCACGAATCTTTTATGTTTGAAAAGAGTTATATTGGATACAGTACTGGTCACTGGTCTGGTCTACATTAATTATTTATGATATACTATACTCTCTCCCCACTGGTCTGAACATCTTAAAGAAATGTTAACCCATGTATAATTCATAATACTAGGTATATTCTTCAATAATTCAAACTTTATCAAATATCCACCATTTCATCTTGGTAATTCACTTTTTGTCCATAAAAAACAAAAACTTTATGTTTTCTTTGTATTCTTTGGTAACTTTATAAAATCTTTGCAAGTTTTTTGGTCTTTGGCTGAAAAACTCTTAAAAAACAACCAATTGTCACCCAATTGTGTAAAAATCATTATGTTCTTAAAATAAAATGTTCTATCTATGCAAAATGTCTTTTCTACTAAATGCCCAGTAGTCTTTAAAATGCCCTGCAGTCTTTTAAATGTCCGTTCTATGAAATGCCCTGTCTTTTATAAATGTTCTAAATATGAAACGTCCTGTCCATTATAAATGTCCTGACTAATATGATATGTCCACTGTCCAGTCTCTGAAATGTCTTTCTATAAAAAGTTCAACACTCGCGAGCTAGCATTGGTTTGATAATGCATATCCCAATATTGTGAGGCGCCCCCATCCCCTACATTTTACCCCCCCCACAATGCATTTTTTTATACAACATCTGTTAACTGCATAACTGTTACTACAGTTGTTGGAATTGTAAATTTTTATAAATGTTTAGTGTTGTATACATGAAATATAATAAATATTTAGGGTTTACTGCATAAACTATAATTTATCTAATCTTCATGACAGAAACAAATCTCCAGACCAAAATATATATTATCTTTAATGTGGAAATAACACCTTCTTTATTTAATACTAGCTTAAGGGCCCGGCGTTGCCCGTGGAAAACAAAAACAAACAAAAAAAAGTTTGAAACATTTTTTTTTGAAAAATAAAAAAAATTGAAAAAATAATAGATTGTTCAGCCTATGTCACCCCAAGGCTACCGTGAGTGTTCACAATGAATGTCAGCCCAATCGGTCCAGCCGTTTGGCCGGCCAGAGGGAACATATATATGAATGTTTTTATATATAGAAGATAATCTGGTCAACAATATATTTTTATATTTTACGTTTGAAATAAATATATAAGCGACTAAAGTTGATGGTTAAACCAATTATAAAAATATATGCCCCCCCTCTTCTCCTTGCCCCCCCGCTTCTCCTTGCCCCAATCTCTTTTCATATCAGATGTTACCAGCTGCTACTGGATGTGGGTCAACATTTGGTTGCCAGGGCGCGTGCTGGTGACCCCCCCCCCCTTCCCCTCCCGTTTCCTCAACAACTGTCTATAACCAAACTTTCATTAATTTACAGTCTTTTTTAGTCTTATTTATAAATTACAATTTATTGAAATATGCATGGTATTAAATTAACTTAAAAATAATTTAGGTACCCACCGCATTAAACTAAAGAAAACTACACGTAAAATTGAATATTCTCAATCATAACTCCTATTATTGAAAAGATATGAGTATAGAAAAAACTTTTTGAATTTCTAACTAATACGTAAACAATAAGTTTGCATTTTTAAGTCATAGCGTCAAATAAAAACTAAAGAAGCTACAAGTTGACAAACCTTCTCCTACGACCTGTCTACTCTCTAGGTTGTTTACATTTTATGTTTTAGTTATTTATTTCGACCCAAACCCCGCTA